TTGGATTACTTGTTCTAGTTCTGGGAAATATGCCATTAGTATTTTCATAGGATTAGTTGAATCTATAGATTACTTTGGGTAGTATGGACATTTTCATGATGTTAATTCTTCCTGTCATTGAACATGGTATATGCCTTCATTTATTTGTATCTTCAATTTCTTCAGTTATCTTAAAACTTTTAGAATACAGTTCCTTTACCTCATTGGAAAATCTCTGATATTAATAACTCAATAGTTTGCACATGGAGATGAGAGTGGGTAATTCATAACCCACAGAGTAAGAGAAATTTGCTTGAGGAAACCTATGGGGGAATGGACAGGGGCTGCCACAGGGTGAGGGCACCAAGGTGGTTCCCCACCCCACCTCCCTGCTCTGAAGCCTCTTTTCTTCCCCCTCTATTCCTCACCCCCACCTGCCTGGTTCTGTAGGTGAATGCTTGGTGACCACCCCAAATCTTCTCATCTGGTCTTATTATCCTTTCTTTATTTTCACTTATTTAAACAACAAAAAAAAAAAACAAACACTGTATGAGTGAAGACTAATTAGTAGAAAGTTTGAGTTAAAGATAATTTTGAAAGCAGTACATTTCAGCTATGTCAGAGTTTCTTTATCAACAGCCTTATCAGGACAGCATTATCAGGGCTGGCTCAGGAATGAACATGAAATGTCTTGTAACCATTTTACTGATCACAAGTGAAGGGGTTGCTTTTAGGTCAAAGATATTTGGAAGTTGTGTGTTCCAAAGAGACACCATTTATTACTCTGATTTTCTTCATGGAGGTGCAGTGGGAATGTGCACAGCTTTCTTTTGTTAGTCCTCCAGCCCCTGCTTTTTTACTTTGCCTACACTGTCTTCTCCCAGCCATTCCTCAAATATGGCATGAGTGTCTACTGCTCAGGCTCAGGCAGTTTAGTGTTTTGGAAGCAGAGTCCCTAAGGTCCTGAAGCCCCTGGAGATGGACAGTGACAGCACACCAGTAATAGGACAAGTGTAATCAGAGTGCTGCAAGTGCCCCAGTAGGGCTCCTTCCTATGCTGGGGAGAACCGAGGGGAGCCTCCCCTCCCCAAGATAGTCACATTTAAACCTAAAGGTGAGTGGTTTGGAATCCATGCAAAGGTACTATTATCAATGCATAGTTAGATTATGGAATCCATGTGTAAGGCTATAGTCCTACCCCAGGCTATAGAAGCCCTTCTGTAACTCTAGAAGCCCTTCTGTAATTCTGTCACTCAACAGGGATCTAAGTGTCCTCCGGGCTCCTGCAGCCCTGACAACTCAAATCACTCTCTTTAGTGCTTGAGTGACAGTTTTCTTGCCTCTGAAACCATGGGCCAACCTCCATCTCCTCCTTGGGTTCCTTCTTTATTCCCTGGTCTCCAGGTTGGAGGGTTGTTCCTTAGAGTGGAGCCTGCCCTTCTTGTCCCTGGAGGCCCAGTGGGCTCATAAGCTGAAGGGCTCACACTCTCTAAGGGCTCAGTGGTTTGTCTTAAAGGTCTCTCCTATCAAAGCACTCAAACCAAGTAAGGAAGAGAGAAATGAAAGGAATAGATGGAGGCACTGGCAGGGAAACTTAGTTGTTTAGAGCATTGTCCCGATACCCCAAGGTTGTGGGTTCAATCCCCAGTCAGGGCACATACAATAATCAACCAATGAATATATAAATAAGTGGAACAACAAATCGATGTTTCTCTCCCTCCTCTAAAATCAATTAAAACAAATTTAGAAAGAGATAGATGGAATCTACCACACAAAAATTAAATGTAAGTATAGCAATAATACCAGACAAAACTAAAAGGCAAATGACATGTTTTGCAAAAATGATAAACCAAGGATTAATATTCCCAATAAAGAATTTATATAAATCACCTTGACTGGTGTGGTTCAGTTACTTGGAGAATCATCCCGTACACCAAAGAGTTATGGGTTTGATTCCTGGTTAGGGCACATACCTAGGTTGTGGGTTAGGTCCCTGGTTGGATGCATACAAGAGACAACCAATTGTTATTTCTCTATCACATCGATGTTTCTCTTTCTCTCTCATCCCCCTTCCTCTCTCTAAAATCAATAAACATATTCTAGAACAATGATTGGGGGGGAAAAAGAGTTTATACAAATCAATAAGAAAAGCATGAAGGTCCTTATTTCAATGGTTAATAAATATTTGGGGGTAAAATGTTCAACCTACCAGTAAGTAGAAATGGAAATGAAAACAATATATTCTCACCTGTCAAATTTGCAAAAAATGAGAAAAAGATAAAATCCAATGTAGAGCTTGGATATAAGGACATGGCACCCTGATATAGTGCTGAGGCCGTGTCAATTGGTATAGCATCTGAAAAGCATTTTGGAAGTGGATCTAAAAAGCCCGAGAAATGTTCATTCTCAATCCATTAATTTCACTTCTGAGAATCTATATTAAGAATGGACAGTGACATGGAGAATTTCTCATGAAATCACGTTAAACGTCAAAATAGGGTGTACAACTCTAGCCAGTTTGGTTCAGTGGATAGAGTGTGATCCTACAGACTGAAGGGTCCTGGGTTCGATTCTGGTCAAGAGCATGTATCTTGGTTACAGGCTAGGTCCCTGACCCTGGTTGGGATGTGTGCAGGAGGCAACCGATTGATGTGTCCCTGTCACATACATGTTTCTCTCTCTTTGTCTATCCCTCTCTCTTCCACTCTAGCTGAAAATCAATGGAAAAATGTCCTCAGGTGAGGATTACCAACAACAACAAAATAGGGTGAACAAATTATATGATATATAATCCCACACACATAAATTATGTACTTTTATGTATTTTAGGGTGATTTGGGAGAATATTTTTCATATGGTTGATTTTGGTGATCATATTTCTATATTTTATATTTATACACTCTCCATAATGAGCATTAATTAAAAAATAAAGGAAGGAAAAAACCTCCATGAAATGTGAAATGATGGAACCAAATAAATTCTAAAATTAACTTTGGTGTCAAAGAGAGTCAAATCACTAGTACTGGTACAATCTGTCACTTTGCAAGATTCAGGATATACATGTTTATATCTATCTCAAAACTCTCCATAAGACTGAGGCAGGGATAACCAGGTTACAGCTGTGGCTGGCTAATTTTGTAGGTAAGGTCATCAGGTCAGATGGCTGTGACATTCCATGCAGCCTGTCACCTGCGAGGTCTCCATTTTCTAATCTGTATAATGGCATGGTGAAAGGGGCCAGACTAAATAATCTCTGAGGATCCTGGCAGATCTCTGCTGAGTCTGTAACTCTTGTTGTTTTAAATTCTCACCCAAGGATATGTATTTGTTTATTTTAGAGGGAGAGGAGAGAGAGAAACATTGATGATTTTGCCTCTCACACACTCCAACTGGGGATTGAACCCACACCCTTTTGGTGTACAGGACAACACTGGGCGATAGCTCTGTCCTTGAGGGAAAGAACTTTGACTTGCCTGAGTCACAGAGCTGAGAGCAACTGAGTGCTGAGATGTGCAGGTTCTAGCTCCTTATCTGCTGAGATACCATAGGACAGGACTTTGTTAGCTATTCCCACCACTGCATCTTGCCTTGGCTCTGCTTCTTGCCACACTCTCTTCCCATAAGCCCCTGGGCCCACCCAGCTGGGGGCTAGTTTGACTGCTCAGCCTTTACTGATTTCAAGACTATCTTCCCTAGAGGGGCAGAAAGCAGGGAACTTTATTGTTTGGAACCACTTAGAGGAGGCATGAACTCAAAAGCCAATGAGGCACAAGACCACTCTGCCCAAAAAGAGGATATCTCCTCCTTCTAGGGCCTTCTCTTTGGGCATTAAAAAAACAACAACTATATATATATATATATAAAATCAATGATGAGAGAGTCATTGATCAGTTGTCTCCTGCATGCCTCACACTAGGGATTAAGCCACAAGCCCAGACCAGAAATTAAACCATGCCACTCAATCACTGACCCATGCCAGTTGGGCCTCTCTGGAGATGGTTTGGCTTTCATGCTGAGCTACCCAGATTGTTCAAAGAAAACCAATGGTGACTTACTGGTGTGAGGCAGGCCCTCCCTTCCTGTAGTTGACTGGAGTCCACTCTCATACCATCTACTGCAATAGCTCCTCAGCTTTGATAAGGCCTCCAGTTTGGCATCTTTTCTCAGAACCTAGAGGTTTAGGGTAGGGGTGGGGGACCTTTTTTCTGCCAAGGGCCATTTGGATATTTATAACATCATTCAGAGAGCCATACAAAATTATCAACTTAAAAATTAGCCTGCTATAGTTCATCAAACATTTAATTAACTCACCCCTAATGCCTTGGCGGGGCCAGACTAAATTATTTCAAGGTCCTTTATGTTCCCCACCCCTGGTTTAGGATAATCCTGCTTGGGTCCCTCAAAAACTTGCTTTCAGCCTTGAATAAATCTCAGACTCCTCCCTCCAGAGTGTGTACCTTCTTAAGGTCGGGGCCAGAGGCCTAACTGCCTGGTGCTCAGGTGAGGTAGATTGATTTTCTTCTGCTTTCTTTCTTTTTAAAATATATTTTATTGATTTTTTTTATAGAGAAGAAGGGAGAGGGATAGAGAGTTAGAAACATCGATGAGAGAGAAACATTGATTAGCTGCCTCCTGCATATTCCCTACTGGGTATGTGCCCACAACCAAGATACATGCCCTCGACTAGAATCGAACCTGGGATCCTTCAGTCTGCAGGCCGACACTCTATCCACTGAGCCAAACTGGCTAGGGCTGATTTTCTTCTGGCCTAGTAAAAAGGCTTCTAGAGAAGACAACTAGTAAGACTCTCACCTTGTCAGCTGCACAGAACCCCTGCCAGAGCTGCTGCCTCCAGACATTGTAGCAGCTCTGGCAGGGGTTCTGTCTTTAACTTCACCCTAAATAGCAGGGCCAGTCTTGGGTGACAGGCAAGCTGTCCTGGGTATGGTGGAGCTAGTAGGGAAAAGTGTCCATGTGAAAACTCCCTTCCTGATGTGGGCCTGTTTCTTCCTAATAACTAACAAATGCATAGGAAGATGACTTCTCTGAAGAGCCCCTTGTTCTGCACAGAGAAACTAGACAGGGTTCAAACAACCCTGGACTCCAGGTGAGCCCCCTTCCCCAAGTCTGATATGCATGTGGATTGAGGGTGGGAAGCCCTCAGGAGGTGACCTGATAGAAATGGAACTGTAAGGCTGAGATAAGATGTTAGGTCTGGTATAGGCTGCCCAGGGCCTCTTCCTCCCACTCCCAGGCCTGACCCAGGGCACTGGGACCTAGCAGAGTTCAGGCAGCTCAGGTTACCAGCCTCCTTCCCTGCTCACCTGTCCTCAGGCCAATTTGGCTAGGACAAAAGTTTACATTTCAGCACCACCCCATTTCTCCCAGCCTGGTAGCCTCCTTCAGGTCGGGTGAGTCTGCTGAACTCCTCATCACAGAGCTCCTGGCCACCAAGAGGAGACTGCTAAGAGGCAGTTCTGCTGGGATCATGGCCCATGGTCAGGACCCAGAGCTGTGAGTGTGACACATCCATATCACCCCCTCCCCAAACTGATCCTCATCCTTGTGCCTACTGTTCATTGATTCTTGGGTCTGCTTCTCTGCTCACCTTTTGGCCAGAGAAATAGTTAAGGGTTTTTGACACCCAGGGGTGGATGATTCCTAAGCATCTCTGAGAGATCTAAGCTCAGGCTGAGCAAATCTCTTGGGAGGGGAGCGGAGGTGGGCACTGCTCTCAGCTCTCTGGGAGGAGGGGCCACTGAGACCCCTTTGTGCATCCAGGAGTGTCTTTCCCCAGGGTCGAGCTATTTGCTTGCTGTGCTTATCACTGCTGTGGCCTCTAGGGTACTCCTCTCCAATCTCTGCCCTAAGCTTCTGGCTTGAAGCCAGGGCAGAATTGATATTGAAGAACCATGGGTGGGACTCAAGGGTGCCTTGTCTCTGGAATGGAATGTCTCCTTTGCAGTTTGCACTGGCCAGAAGGCTTGAAGGGTGAAGAGATAAAGAAATACAGTTGAGAAGGGGTAAGTGTGTGGAGGCTGATTTCTTACTGCCCAGCAAGGAAGGGGCCCTGGGCTGCCTGAATTCAGTGACTGCTGGTTCCTTGGCCACCAGGAAACCTGAGTGGTGTCCCTCCTGGGTGGGAGTGGTGCATTCCCCTCCAGTCACAGGCTGTCTATTAGGACCCAGAATTACCAGGAGTCAAGCTGTGCTTGGAATTCAGCCCTCTACACCCTCTTACCACACCAGTGACTTCATGCTCAGTCTCCAGGGGGCCCCGTGACAGTATTTCCTGGTGGCTGGAGCAGGGCCCCTTTGGTGTTGTGATCTCCCAGGACTTCTCAGCCCAAGCCCTTGTGTTTGCAGACACTACAAAGTAAATACAATCAGCAATACCACAAGCTGTTCAAGGACGTCCCCTTGGAAGAGGTGGCTCTCAAAGGTGAGCTGTGTCCATGGTATGCCTGGGCAGGTGCCTGTAGTGCCTGAGGCCCAGGTACTGTCCTCACAATTTAGAAATGGGAACTGGCTGTCCTTTGGATGTGGTTTGTTCTTTTTTCTTCAAAAGTGTGAGAAGACTGGACTAGTTTGGGATATAGAGTTGAATTTATGAAAGTTTTCTTGAGGAAACTAAAGGGCTTCCAAATATTATTTCTGTTATGTTCTTATCAGTAATTATTCTTTCCTGTCAGGCCTCTCACTGCACAATCAGGGTCTTCTCTGTAGGCAGGAAAGGGCAGGGCAGGGCATTCTGCCTGAGGCAGTGAGAATCCAGGCTTGAGTGGAACCAGTGAAGAAACCTGTCTGAACTATTTGCTACATAGATGGATAAAGAAGAAGCATCTAGCAGTCTGCTGGATGGAGTTGGGACAGTTAGGAATCTCAGGAAAGGACTATTGGGGTACTGGAGGATGGGTTATTCAGGAAGTTGGGTTCTAAGAAGAAAGACAGTTCCTGAGGCTAGACTCTGGACTCTTCACTGTGAGGACCCAGGCCCTGGGGCTTCCCAACAGACCTTAGTCATAGTAGTCTTGTCTTTTGTGACTTCCCAGTGTGTTCCTGTGCTCTCCAGAGGGACCTCCTTCTTCAGGGCTGGTTCTATATCTCCCCCAACTGGCTCTGCTTCCATGCCAGCCTCTTTGGCAAGGATATCAAGGTAGTAATGAGTGGTAAGGGCTGCCACAGTCCAGTGAGATCCCTGCCCCAGCCCAGGAAAGAGAGAGGCTCCTACCCTGCGGGCATGCCTTGAGTCATACCTGTCCTCCTGCATGCTGGCGAGGCCTCTCACTGGTTGGATGAACAGTTAAGAGGCATCTCACCTGGTGTCAGTGTAAACCCTTCCAAAACAGAGGCCCTGGGTCTAGACTCTACATCGGGCCTGAGTTGGCCTGAACAGTTCACAGACAAATTATTCTGCCTCTGAAATGCCATTAGAATAAGAGTGTGATGTAGATGTGGTCAGGACATAGCTCAGGGAACTCCATTATTAGAGTACAGGATTCAACAGAACAGTCATCCTTGGGTAAGAGGGTGAAAGTCTGGAGTGACATGTGCTGCCAAGGCTGGGCATAGTGTAGGTAACTGGAAGGGGAACGTGTATGGGAAGTGGGAAGTTCACACTCTCCCACGTGGGTCCAGGCTTCTCCATGGTGCCCGTGCTTGGCTCACTGCAAGCTGGGGCTTGGGCCCTGTTCTGGAAGCAAAGGGACCATGTCCTTGGGAATGAGTTCTGAAAAAAAGCATGCCACTTCTCCTTCAGGTGGTCATTCCTGTGGTGTCTGTGCAAATGGTCAAAAAATACAAGATGGCATGACTCCTTCCCAATGGCCTGGCCATCACCACCAACACTAGCCAGAAGGTCAGTGAGTCTCTGAGCCACACTCTCTTGTTAGTCTCCCCATCGCAGCCTCAGGAGCCCACAGCCTGACTCACACAATCTCATGTCTTTACTCACCCCACCCCTTTGTTTTCTATGTCCCAGTATGTCTTTGTGTCACTGCTATCCCGGGACAGTGTATATGACATGCTGAGGAGGGTCTGCATTCACCTACAGGTATGAAGCTTAGGAGCAGGAGTCAGGCCAGGGAGGCTGCTCAGGCCTGGACAAGGCCATTGGGGAAGGTAGACCATTTCTTCAGCACAGGGAATAGGGGCAGTGAGAGGGGAGTAACAGGCTCAGGCTGGGTGCATCAAAGGCAGTCCTTGAACTGTGTGACTGTATTTATGAACATGTGTCTTTGAGGCCAGTGACCTTCGTATGTCCCCATGTAGATTCCCTCACTTGTGCTTCTTCTGTGTATAGAAAGACAGTCAGGAGCAATGGGGCTGCTTCCCAGGAGGCCTATAGCTCTCTCTGGCCTATGGTAAGAAAGGGAAAGGAGCAGCAGCAGGGGAGTGTAGATTGCCTTAGACTTGACCCTCTGCTCCAGCATTAGATAGGGAACCCCTGCAAACTATGGGAGCTGGGCTCCATCTCATCCAAATGGAGGTAATGCTTCCCTACACCTCATCTTCACCGTTCCAGATGGACAAATAACTTCTGTTCCCTTTCCTCCTCAGCCTTCCAGCAAGAAGAGTCTGAGTGTAAGAGAATTTTCAGAGGAACCTGAGTGCGAGTCTCTGGTGAGAGCTGAGGCTGGGAGCAAAAGCTGCTGGCTTGAGATTGACTGTGGTTCTAAGCCTTCAGAGCCTCCCAGCAGGGCCCACAATGTAGAACTAAGGCACCAGGCTCAAGAGCCAGCAGTCATACTGAAAAGGTTCTTCTAGACCTGCCACACTCCAACCATGCAGAGCCACCAGGTCCTGGCAGATGTGCTGATTTTATGAGCAGGACAAATGTCTAGGTCCCAGAACAGTGTCCAGGTTGAATCTCACACTGTACAGGCATGGAGCCAGTGACCCATCCTCTTCCTTTCACAAAGTCAGAAGGACCTTTAAGGGGATAGAGATGTCCCTGGGGAAGAACTTCAAAGGCTACTAATGTAGAACCCAGACAGACTTATTTTAGATTTGCTGAGGTCCCAGCAGTTTTCTTTGGCAACTGGGGTTCAGGGTAAGTAGAGCTGAGTTTCTAGAGTAGGGATGGGGTGAAAATGGCCCCAGAGTGTTTGAAGCCTTCTTCAGTAACTATAGCAGTCAGGCAAGTATGCATAATACCATGCAGGGAGATAGAAGATGAAGTTTCCATTACTGTTGATGGGGACCTTAAGTGCCCACTGTCAAGATGGGTGGCACGCTTAGACTTAGAGCCCAGATTAGAAGTCATGACTTATCCCATCTAAGTTAGGTTGTGCTAGGCTTTCTCAGACTCAGACCTGGCCATATACTTTCTCAGACTCAGACCTGGCCATATACTTCAGTGGACTTATATCTTGGATCTCATGTCTTGGATCTCCACTAACAGTCTTCAAAGACATTGTTCCTAGAAGAGTAGTTGATTACAGCAAAGAAGCAGATAGGAGAGACACGTGATTGCTAGGGCAATGGTTTTCCCCTTCCAGTGTACCTGCTTCCATGCCTTGCTAGGCATCTATGTTGGTAATATATAGAGAAATCTTTGATAAAGTGGTGGGGGCACCTTAGTGCAAATAAGATCCCAAGGACCATGGTGAGACAGCTTCTGCTTTTTCTGCAGGAAGTCCTTATCCCTGAGATGAAGTGGAGAAAAATATGCCCTGCCTCCAGGTCCCTGTCCCTCCCAGGCAGTATCCCTTGTATCCCTCCAGCATCCATGGACTCCCCAGACAGCTCCTTCTCCTCCAGGAAACCTCCAGGGTCTGGTGAGTTCAGGGGTCTTATCCCATGCAAAGACCAGGCTTCTTCTCCTCTCATTTCTGTGAAAAGGGGGCATCACTGCCAATGGGGCTTCTGAGAGCTGTTTCTTTCTCCAAATCCATAAGGGAAAGCCAAGAGCCCAAACAGCTTCAGAGAATGGCAGGAGGTTGGCATGCCCCATGCTGAGCTGGGGTCCTACAGTCCCAGGAAGATGAGTAACTGCTCTCTTATTGCAGAAAATGCTATCTGTGAGGAAGAGACACTGGAGGAGGAACCCGGGAGCAATGAAGAGCTGAGGCTCTGGAATTACCAGCTCCTCAAGGTCATCTTCATACTGTAGGTGATTGTTTAGGGGCGGGGGTGTTTGGAGCAGGGGCCTTACTGTATGAGGAGGTCACTGTCCAGAGTAAGAGGAAGATTCTGAGTCAACTGCAAGCTTCTGGGTAGTGTCTGGAGGTCACATGGCAGGCAGGCCCTTCTGTGGTGAAATTAGTTCCAGTTTTATTTTTACAATCTTGTAATTTAGGGTTAAGCCTGTGCAATGGGGAGGGGCAGGAGATGAAACTGTTGAGAAAAGGAAAAGTTGTATAGGATTGGAGAAGGCTGGCAAAATAGCGGAGGGCCATCAGGTAGACTAGGAAAGCCATGGCCTTCTTGCTGCCCACCATTAGGGCAGTTTCTGATACCCCAGACTCATCTGTAACTCTGCCTGAGGACCAGCAGATAGTGAGCATGGTGGGATGCTTCATGAACACCAGCCCCTAGTTCCTCTCACCTTACCTCATTAGCATCCTCTGGCTCTGCTGACTAGGGCCTACCACCTTAGGAGATAATAGTCTCCCAGAGGAAGTGCAGGACCAAGGTGGCTGGTCAGAGGGAAGGTGGGATCAGCTGAAGAACCCAGAACACCTGCTGGGCTTTTAGGACACCGCCATGGAGATGAGTCTCAGGACCCCCATGTGGCTTAAAAGATACCCAGGCTTGAACATGGCTGCAGTGTAAATGGTTCTTTAATTCTTCCAATTAAGAATTGGAAGAGGAGCTTAGTCCCACCCCTACTTTTGCTAAGCCTCTAAAACTATCCTTTTTCTAGATGAAAAAACTCTTGCCTCCTTTTTCTCCAAGATCTGCTTCTTGGTCATGTCCTCATCTTATCTGGCATTCTGCATTTCCCTGCTGGAACAGCAGTTATGCTCCCTTAATCGGGATGGCCCAACTCCTGGGCACAGGTGATGCCTTTTATCTTCCCAATGCCTCTGGGATTCAGGGCTAAAGACTGGGACCAAAACCTACAGCCAGGCTGCTTGTTACCTTGGCTGAATTGGCCCTAACCTTGATAAGCTGGCTTCATGGCCCCAACAAGATTGGACAGAATATGTGGGGTACACAGATCCTACCTGACCCACCTTATGGAGGATAGTGGGAGGTTTCAGTGACCTACTTAACTACCTTCAAAGCCCTTTCTCTGATCTAGGCATCTCTCCTATGCAGGTAACATCCACTTGGCCTTTGTCCCCACTCTTTCAAGAAGAATGCCTTGGGTGCTAAGGTTCCATCAATGGGCCCCCTGGTTTCTGATGCTGCTATTGTGCTGGGACTGACTATGAAGAAAAACATTCCAGATCCTTCCTTTTCCCCCAACTCTTTTCCTTCCTCCAATGAGTGATTTGAAGTACCTGTTTACAAAGCTCCTACAATTTTTGAACTCAGACAAAAAGCCAGGTTTTTAGAACCAGCTTACAGGGGGGATCAGAAGGGGGAATCAAAATGGCACAGGAGAATCAGAGGGGGATTACCATTTTAGTAACCCCTTTTGATCCTCCTGTGTCATTTTGATTGCCCCCTCTGATCCTCCTGTGTCATTTTAAGTGATCCCCCTCCCCCAACCCCTGTGCCACTGAACGCCTTCACCATACATCCCCCCTACCCCTTTATCAGACTTTTACCCCCTGGGGCCTGCCTGGGGACTGTCACTGGGCTTGCTGGGGCCTGGATCTGGGCTGGAGCAGGGTCTGCCACATCATGAGGGCGGCTGCGAGCATCAGGTAGTGTCACCAGAGACAGACCAGCACTCACCACCTTAGTTGCATCCCATCTGCTCTAATCCTCCTGTTTTTCTACACGCATCTGCGAAAGTCTCTTCCTCTCTCCCGCCCTGCACTCACCGTTCACTCCAACCTCCTCCGCCTCCACACAGCAGTGATGTCAGGATTCCGCATAATGTCACTGGTTGCTAGACGCCAGTCGGGGTGGCCCTAGCGACAAGTTTACGGTAAATTAATTTTCATTCTGAGACAAAGCCTGGGGGGGGGGGAGTGGGCCTTATTTTTGGGGGGATGCCTTATATTTCACTCAGAAAGAAATCTATAAGTTGACAACTACTGTACTACCGTACCGTATACAGGTAATAAATTTCCTTTATTTTCATTTAACAATTAATGTGTACTTTATTCTTCTTCATGGAAAAATAAGACACCCCCTAAAAATAAGACCTAGTGCATCTTTGGGAGCAAAAGTTAATATAAGACACTGTCTTATTTTCGGGGAAACAGGGTAGTAACTGTCCATAGGTTTTGTCTCCAAAGAAAAGGATTGTGCAGCATAGCAGAAATATAAGCTACTTAGGCAGGTTGCAAAGCCATGTTGTAAAGCTGTTTGCAAGTAACTCAGAGCAAGTTTTGTGAATAGAAGTACAGTGCTCATCACATTCTGCTTTAAAAAGTTGTGGCAAATACAGACAAAAGGCAAAGTTTAATAATAATAATGCAGGAGCTTCAGTTTTGCAACATGTGCTTTAGCCAGGTATGAGGAAGGGTAATGGAAGAAGCAGGATTTCTAATGAAAAGGGCATTCAAGAATGAGGAGAGCTGGGGAAAACTGCATCTTGCAGGCGAAGTCGTGTGAGCAAGACATTGCTCCCATCCTCACTGTGTCCACCCATGTGCCCAGCCATTCCAGCCCTGGCCCTCCTACCTGCTGGTCATGGCATTAGGACACTTATCAAGCTGGGTGAGGTCGTGAATCTGTGCTGCTCTGCTCTCCTAGCTCCTGGGCCACAGAATCAGAGGATGATATAAGGCAAAGAAAGGTAAGACAGGCCCAGTCTACGTGTGAGGGGAAGAAATGCAACTAAGCCACTAGGTGGCAGCAAAGTCCAACAGGAACTGGAGTCCAGGTGGTGAGGGACAGACTTCATTCTTCTTAAAGAAGCACTCCTTCTGTCCCCTTTTGGGGTGAAAACGAGCCCAGGCTTAGTCCAAGTCCATTGCACTGCCTATCCGACAGGCTTACATGACCATTTCTTTCCTGAACCCTTTAGTTTTTTCTCTTTCTCTTCTTGTGCAGCCCAGAGGAAGGCCCAAGGCAATTCTGAAAGGAAAGCATTCCTAAGGACCCTCCAGGCCTTCTGCAGGTCAGGCCTGTAGGAAGTCAGAACTGGCCTGGATGAAAAACCAATGTGAATGTTTGTGTTTGGGGATACAGAGTCCACAGGGGTGAGAACTCAGCTTCTCTTCTTAGGGGCACAGAATCTTGGGTTTTGACCCAGACCTCATTTTCAGTAGCCTCTCCTTTTACTCAGGACACAGAATTACAGAAACCTGACTCCTGCAGAGTATGATTTCAGGAGGTAACAACACTTTTCCCCTCTTCTTTCAGATAGAGATAAGGCACTGGACCCCAGGGCAGAGAGGATTCCAGTTTAAGAGTTATATCTGATTTGTCAGTGGGGAAGCCTCTGAAATGGTAATCCAGAAACCTGAATCCATCCCTCTGTGTGTTTGACCTCCACAGAGCCAAAGAGCATCTAGTACCCAGCAGGCTCTTCTTGCCTGGGCCACCTTCATTCACATTGGAAGGGCTTTTTGCCTTCCTGAAATGTGTTCCTTCTTGTTTGCTACTCAGTGCCTGGCCCAAAGCCAAAACTGGGCTGCTTAGTATACCATGCCCCACTCACTTATCTCACAGGACCTGAAACAAGGCTCTGAAAAGCCAGGCCCTCATGGCACTGGTATTGACTTCTCACATCAGACTTTCCTCCAGTGGCTGATAGAAAAAGCTCTTAGGGAAGACACAGCTGTGACCCCAGAAAACAGAGTGTAGCATACTTATGTCTTATCCTATTGGCAGCCTTCTGAATTGGGTCAGAGTGGGCAAAATGTCATTATCAAGCCTTTTATTAACTGTGTGAATGAAAAGAGCCACATGCTAACCTGACAAGCTCAGGGGAGGCTTGTGTGGCAGTCTTGCAAACTCAGAAACTTAGAACAACCACAAAAGATGGTTTGAAAATTAAATATTTAACTACAAACAGGTTATAGTGGGTGGTCATGTCCTAGATTAATATTTCACCTGACAAAGATCAACTTAGATCTTCTTTACTAAGCCCATTTGCCTTTTTGCTTCTAAGACAACATATCTGTGAGATGTCTGGGTAACTTGTAACTTCCTTTTTACCCTGACCTCCTCAGGGCACAACAAATGGCCTCAAGACATTCACTCATTGTTATTGTTATCAAGTTAATTGTCGACTGTTAATTACATTAATGTATCCTGTATCCATCTCTGTAAAAGAAGCACATGTTCATCATTTCACGTTTTACCCTATCCCAGGGGTTTCCCCGTTTTGTTCTGTCCCACCTCCCTAATCTATCACCAATGAATTTCATGTAACCCACCTACGTCCCTTTCCCTTGACTGCAAAGTATAAATATAGATGTAACCCTGCATTCTCTGGAGCATTATCTCAGTCCGTTGAGGTTGTGCTTCCCAGCATATGTTGACAGTTTGGCTCAAATAAACTCACAAAAATTCTTTACAGGTTTCAATAGTTTTTTTCCATTAACAACTGGTTTTTTAAAAAATATAACTTAATTTATTTTAGAGAGAGAAGAAGATAGAAGGAGAGAAAGAGAGATAGAAATAGATAGATAGATAGATAGATAGATAGACAGATGATAGATAGATAGATAGATAGATAGAGAAACATCAGTGATGAGAGAGACACATTCTGGATTACCATTCCTGCATGCCCCCTACTGGGAATTAAGCCTGAAACCAGGGCATGTGTCCTGACCAGGAAGTGTACCGTGACCTCCTGGTTCATAGGACAATGCTCAAGCACTGAGCCACACCAGCTAGGCAACTTTTTATTCTTATTTTATGTCTTTCCTTTGATTATTTTTCATAAAATGATAGTGATGTTAGTTAGTAGTACAACTTTCAGATATCTTTATCTGAAAAAATTTACAAGTTGGAAATCCTATCTTGGTCCCCAAACTTAAAAAGGAAAATATTTACTTTAAAGTTTTAGTTGACTTTATTGGGGTGCATTAACGTGTTAAATGCAGAAATGTTTGCATAAGCACACTTTGAGGAAATGTGACACCCAGGCTCCTGGATTTATTCTAGCATGAAGGTGTGTTCATTGGTGTAGGATTTCTAATGGAAGGTTTTCTTTGCTCTCAGCTCCAAATAGTAAGCTAGTCCGAATGCACACTCTCTCCAGTATGTAACTACTGTATTTAAGAGATTCATTAAGCACTTTCTATGGCTTCTAGAATGTTTGCTTCTATAGAAATATTATACTTTTCTGAGCACTTAACTGGGTACCAGGTTCTATACAAGGTGGAGGTGCTTTCACACTGATCTCATTTGACTCTCAATATAACAATATAATTTGCATACCTCATGTTGTGGAAACTGCGACTAACAGGCTAGAAATACAATATGACTCCTTCAGGGAACTTATTGAAAAGACAATGTAAAAGGAATCCTATCTAATGAAAGAGTAATGTGCAAATTGACCATCACTCCAACACACAAGATGGCTGCCCCGTGGGGTCAAAGATGGCTTCCCCATGTGGATACTATTAATATATGGCCACCACAAGATGGCCAACAGGGGAGGGCAATTAGGAGGGATAAGGCCTGCAAGGGAGGGCAATTGGGGAGGAGTGGGGACCAGGCCTGAGTGGAGGGCAGTTGGGAGCGACCAGGCCTGCAGGGAAAGGCAGTTGGGGGGACCAGGCTGGCAGGGGAGGGCAGTTGGGAGGGACTAGACGTGCAGGGCAGGGAAGTTCAGAGGACCAGGCTTGCAGGGGGGGAAGAGGGGGACAGTTAGGGGTGACCAGGCTGGCAGGGGAGGGCAGTTAGGGGCAATTGAGCTGTCAGGGGAGCAGTTAGATATCAATCAGGCTGGCAGGGGAGTGGTTAAGGGGTGATCAGGCTGGCAG